CGAGGTGTTTCCCTGCGAAGTGCTCACAGAAGCACTGCCAGGGTTCGAGGACAAGCCCACTACCGTTGGAGTAGCTACCCTCGTCGTGACTTTTTCGCCTCGGCAAGTTCTCGACGTGTGGCCATTGTTGCCAATGTTCATGCATGTGCCCCTGGCAACTCGGTCCCTCCACACCTCGTAATGTAAACCAAGTTTTACCCATGCGGGTGTTCCTTGGTCCCCCTGACCCGTAGACCGGCCTACCTTTTGCTTCCCAGTCCCCCTAGCTTTTTCTTTAATGGGCACTACTCCCCAATCCGAAGTCTCATTGGCCCCACCAAGCTTTGTCTCATCCCCAAGGTCTAAGAAGTCGTCAATTTCAATCGTCTGACCATCATGGTCGCCGAACATTAGTTGACCTTTTTTCTTCCAATCCTGGGGCAAACATCTCAAATAATCTGTGAGGAGTACCTGCTGGTCGTAGCGCACACCAGGCACCACGAGCAAACGTTTTACGGTGTCTGTGAGCTCGCGGACATTCTTGTACCTTTTGGCACAAAGATTGTTGATCGCATCGGTGGACTTTTGAGCCCCTTGCGGGTCATACCACCTATTGTACACAGTCTGTACGAAGTCCTCCAATGTCTGGGCTTGGGCCCAGGCATCGAAATTCTATCTGTAGCCCTGCTGCTGCACTAAGCCATTTAACCAACATGTTGTCGATCCCTCTACAAAGGAGGCAGCCACTATAACTTCTTGCTCTAGCCTTGTGAGCTTGTGCCTCACATAAGTAGCCACAGTCCTCACCCATGTATCCAGGTCCTCGTCCTTCTTCCTGTCACCAGAGAAGGGTTTAAGACTCAGCAAGGGTATCTTGGGCATCCACTGCATAGGTTGGATTTGCCTAGGCGATTGCTGCAGTGGCTGCATAGCCAATGACACAGGTTGCTGCGTGCTAACCTGAGCCTGTCCAGACAATGGCACTATAGCTGCCACCGTCCTCGACGGTACAGAAGAAGAGATAAGAACTGGACCACTTAACTACTGGTTGACTACTTGAAAGAGGAATGTCATACATAGGTGAGAAAGAGGGCCCTACAAGCGACGACGTCACTGAGGGACCCGCGACCGAAGGGGGAGCAACAGCATAATGAGGTTGTCTCATCATAGAACGAGGAGCCTGCAGTGCAGCCATAATTTGTTTTTGGCCTGCCACTAGTTCAGCCAGCACTTCCTGCTAAACAACCTGCGTTTCCGCTACGCAAAGCAACGAGTTACGCATTGCTCGCATGGCAGGATCAAGTGTTGACTCATCTGATGCTTCTAATTTGCTTAGTTCATGTCTCCTACTCCCTAGTCTAGCTTTTCTAAGCATAGCCCTTTGCCTTCTCTTCACTGCCTCTCTCAGTTGCTTCTGCAACTCATTATGCAGTTCTTCTGCCTGGAGGATCTCATAATCCTCTGGTGAGAGTTGGGGTTTGTTGGCTGACCTGCAAGCCAACAGATTGACTAACCATACCTTGGGTACCCTGACTCATTCCTGACAAAGAGGCCTGGGACACGGCCTGTGACACTCTGGAAGAAGTAGCCATAGTTGTGCCTAAGCTGACCTCGGTCCTAGCCCTCGCACTAGCTGCAGCTGCTCTTGCCCTCCGCAATATCTCCCTTGCCCTGGCTTCCGTTCGCAGCCTCCTTTCGTCTCCCGGACCTAACTCCTGGAAGGTGAGTGGACGACTGAGAGCAGTTCTACGAGTTACCCTAAGGTCTTCAACTAGTTCTTCCTCCTCCTCACTATTGACAGCTTCACTCACGAGCTACAGTGTGTGTAGTCTAAACTAGAACCCACACTGGATCCTACCTCGGCATGACAACCGTTTAATGTTTGACTCTAAATTCGGTAAGCCTAAGAAAAAGTAGTCAAGTCGTAACCAACAATCAGTGTCAGGTCCTACCGGGAATACTAAATCTATTTTTCTGAAACTGATTGCATGTAGCAAGGAATACTATCTATCTGCAGTTGTCTGTTAGTTGTCAGTCAAGTCCGTAACAACTAAATAATACAAAATAAAAATAATATTCCCTGCAGAGATGCATGCTGGATGGCAGTTTATCTAATTAATGCCACAACGAACAGTTACCGGAATCCAACCCTCCCCCTGTATCCCTCTTGAGTAGTCACTTTGTGTCGACGTCCTAAGCATCTGGTTGAGCAGCGTGTCTGAAGGTGTGCTATCCGGCCCCCCCCTGTGCCGCAAGTCTACGCCGAACCTGCCAGCCCCTGCACCTTGTTTATCCTCGCATGCAACGAGCCTTACACCCGGTTTGATCTGGTTGATCAAGAGGCAGTTTAAGGACAGCCCCCAAGGTCCTCGGGAATTATTTAATGTCGCAGACAGGACGACGATCACAGCCAAAGTCAACACCGAGTCCCGCCAGAAATATTATAGACGGTCTGGAAAGCGTCAGTTCAAAGGGCTGGCATGCCTTGCATGACCTCTATTGTGCAGCAGCAGAACCAAGGACTTGCGGCAAAGCATGTGTGTACTAGTTCCAGCGGGTTGGCATGGTGACCGTGACCCGAGTGCTTCGTCCAGGGCCCTTCAGAGGCTTCGCTCGTCTCCCACCAGCTTGCTGCCCAGGAAGAATGTCGACTCTCAAGGTTGAGCGCTCGCGACACCTCACATTGAGAGGACTCTCAAGACAGAACTCACTTCCTCACGGTAAGAAGTAATGAAGAGGGTGGATAAGGAAGACAGCAACGTACCTCATAATGCTGCCCCCAACCACAGATTTCTCACCAGCAACCTAATGTGCA